AAGACATGTGGACTGTTTATAATTGTTTCATTTAAATTCTTAATGTGTTTTCATTTTTTGTGTTATTCTGGTCAGATTTTAAAATCCGCAAAAGTCCAACTATGTTTTCTAATAGTTCCTATAAACATAATTATAATATATTTCCAGAGATAAAAGTGTAACCACAGCGTCATCGGATTCGCCACACGACTACCTGCTCGCTAATTTCAATAGCATACCATCCTACTGTCATACAATCAAATGTTTACGTTTCACACAGGTAAATTACAGGTGCGTACGCTAACAGGTGCTTCCTTCATACGGCACACCTGTCATGTTCAGAAACTACGTTAATCTCACTTACCACAGTGTCACTAACGAAGATGAGGTTCCATTGCATGTAAAATCCATCGTTCCCATCACACGAATCTGCCCGCCGCATCGCATATTGTTTTACCTAGCAAATAAACAATCCTTGACAAGATCGAATTGTCGCGGGTACCATGAGCAATGACCTGTGATGTCAGAGGTCAAGCACATGTTTCCATGACGTCATTTTGAATTGATTCGGTAGAAGTTTCGTAAAGACTAATTATATAAAGTAGACTGCCATCATTGAAAACGTTAAACGAATCTTATCGATTATCTGTATATTTTTCATTTTCAGGTCAAAATAATTAGCATAGAGAATTGTGAGAATGAATGACACGTAGACAACTATTTCAAACAATGTTCACAGACAGTTTCGCTTCATGGCCTTATCGATTATGATACTAAGACCCTGTTCGGGCCCAGCCTACACTGGTCAAAGTGAGTGAGTGAGTTTGATTTTACTTGCAATATTCCACAATATCAGGGCTGGGGACACCAGAAATAGGCTTAACATATTGTACCCATGTGGGGAATCGAACCCGGGTCTTCTTCGTTACGAGAGAACGCTTTAATTGCCAATTTGTTTCTGGTCCATATCAGATATGAAGATTTATTTGAACGCACTATTTGATAGCATGTAAGTAATCCCATGCAATCTGTCGCGACAGTCAATAAATCAAGTCTGTTAATTAATAAAATTAATAATTACAGCTTCACCCTTACAATTGAATTACATCTTTCATCACCCACTGAAGCGGGCTAGCTGTACCTTTCGCATTCAAGATACAGGTTATTACTAATTACAAAGTAGTAATAAGCAAAACGAATTATTTTGGTAGATTAATAGAATCCTACTCTTGTGGTTTCTTTCTGTTTTTTCTTCTTTTTTTAAAAAATGCACTGGTTGTTTTTTTTTCAAATAGATAAACAAACATTCGTTGATTGCAACTTGTCTCGGAGTTTTCAACTTTGACAAAGCTGTTGACAACAAATTTCTGCATGAGCGGTATCAGTTGATGGGTAATCCGCTTAGGTTGGTAGTGGTGGAAGCGGCGGTAGTCTGTCACACAGACCCTGAATCAAATATGTCCAAGAAAACCCATACAAGCCTATATGCACAAGTTTCATTATGTTTCATTAACCTGTGCTGTGCCATCTCCATCCTTTCTCGCACATCTGGCTATCCCTTTCTCTGCACTCCTCCCTCGTGCAAAATAGTGAACTGTGTCAATATTTTAATGATAGTTTGTTAAACAACTTTTTTAATTTTAGGACATAAATTCTGCACACAAATCACAGAGTTGGTCTGATGTTTTGATTATGATCAGCGTTTCATTGAGTATTATATGTTTATTAGTTTTCGAGTAAGATTGCAATTCATCGGTCCGCTTTTGAGCCAAACGCACTATAGAATATGTGGCAACATAGGCGGAATCCCGGGGGGTGGGGGTGTTGGTGTTTAGTGTTTTGACCCCCCTGAATATCCCCTTGGCTCCGCCGGTGCAAAACATTACCTTCAATGTGGTCTTTAGTCATTTTCAGGAAAGGGGGGTCTCTTTCCCCCTTCCCCCGAATTCGCCAATGGGCAAGTCTAGATTATCTCACTTTCTGAGAATGAAGAAAGTCTCTGGGCTCCTTTTCATTATATTTTATGATAATAATTTAGGAACTGTTTAAATCCCTAAAAAATCTCTCCATTTCAGCGACTAGAAGTACGTCTCCGACAGCGGGTATAGGGGGTGATTTCATTGTTACTACTATTTACTACGACGACGACTACTACTACTTCACACAATGTGCCAATGTAGAGAATCGAACCCGGGTTTTCAGCATTTCGAGCGAACGCCTTCACCACTAGGCTATACCCACCGTCCCCGTCTCACGTGTTAAATGAAGGCAGTTGCCTTTGGTGTTTAACTTTATTATTCTTTGAAAATACATTTAGATTTCGATGTTGGTGTTGGACTATACTCCAGCTGTATGAAGGTAGTCTGTAAATAATCTGGACCGGACAATCCAATGACTAGCATGGATCTTCAAATCTGGAATACGATGACATTCATCAACCAAGTTAGCGAGTCTGACTACCGAGTTAGCCACCCCCCTTCCACAAGCATGGATTGTTAAAAAAAAATTCTAACCCAGATTTTTAAGGGGGTTTGTTGATGCCTGTCTACTACTTTGGGCTTGTGAGTGTTGGTGAGAAAGATGAGTTATGTTATGTTATTATATAGAGAATCTCACCCAAATGTCTTCTGATATCAATTATATCAACACGAGTTGATAAAGTTACAAATATCCGAGGCTTGCCGAGGATATTTTTACTTTTATCAACGAGCGTTGATATATTTGATATCAGAAGACACGAGGGTGAGATTTTATTTATCATCCAAAATCACTCTTCATTAATTTTCAATGAAAAATGTACATCTCTGAACATGGTACTGCCATTAGACTTGCAGTGCAGCGATGTCATAGCATTGTGACGTCATCAAGTACATGACGTCATAGCATTGTCAGGGCATTGTACAAAATCTACTGTCAAAACGATATCTCCTAGGAGATATCGTTTGATCTCACACAAGCGATATCTCCTGTGGAACACAGTTTTGGATGATAAAGTGTTATATTGTTCAGGATAGTGTAAAAAATTGTTCAGAATAAAACATAAGATGTTGTTTATTGATAAACGATACAATGCTCATCCTGATAAAGGCATACGAGACATTACGAAACATTAAACCTCCAACTTGTATGAATGAGTGAGTTCAGTTTTACGCCGCTTTTAGCAATATTCCAGCAACATCACGGCGGGCGGCACCAGAAATGGGCTTCACACATTGTACCCATGTGGAGAGTAGAACCTGGGTCTTCGGGGTGACGAGCCAACGCTTTAACCACTAGGCTACCCCACCGCCCCTCCAACTTGTATGAAACACCATAAATATTGAACTGTTGCATCGCTATAAAAATATATACATTTTCTACAATTAGTATATGCATTTTAAGCATACCTAATGCTAAAGTAGTGCTTAAGGGAATGCCTCAACGAACGGTAAAATTATATAGTCAGTAAAATTGAAGCATAGAGTCATTAATTATATATTGAGAAACGTTGAATGCAACATTCAGATCTGACAAAATTAATTATTTACACTTTACCTTAAACACAATCCATCTTCCTAACGTGTGAAATATCAGTGTGACCCAACACACATTGTTGTAGCGCCAGTAAAGACTGTCATGCGTAAATGTGTGATGCCCGAAAACATAATCTGACGATATGTAGGGCCTCTGGGGTAGCCTGCTTGCCCACGCGTTTGCTCATCAAGACGAAGACCCAGGTATGATTCCCCACATGGGTACATCCCATGTCCCTTGCCGTGATATTGTGGAAAGCAGCGTAAAACCATACTCACTCACTCCCTGACTATAATTATGTGTAAAAAGACGTCAACGTTCTTTGCTGTGCTGTACATGGTGGTCCTTCCTCATCTGACGATGTTTAACCTGTATAAAGTATAACCTGTTTAAATTATAACCTGTATAAATTATAACCTGTATAAAGTATAACCTGTATAAAGTATAACCTGTATAAAGTATAACCTGTATAAAATATTACCTGTTTAAAGTATAACCTGTATAAAGTATAACCTGTATAAAGTATATCCTGTATTAAGTATAACCTGTATAAAGGATAACCTGTTTAAAATTGTGTTTGGACTGGGTCTTAGCTATTAATCCGATAATATCTTTGTCTGGTCTCTGGTGCCAGTAACAGATCAATTAGAATTAATCCGTGGAAATACTTAGTCAATTAGCATCATTAGTGTTTAGTTCAGTGGGTAGAATTCAGCAGCAGCCAGAGGCACAACAAGGATATTTAGTGTGGGCCAAACTAATTGTAAAAGGGCTGAGCCCGCTGGGATGGTTTGGGGGCATGCCCCCTAGGAAACAAACAAAATTACTAAAACGCCATTTTATGTTTTTTGACCAGTTACGATATATTTAATTTGTAAGAAATATTGATTTATAATTTATTATATATTTTTTTATTGGTGCCGTGTGTAAAACACACTTTCGACTTTCATTCAAGAACTATCTACCACAAAAATCCTAAAGTGCCTTAAGATTCCGATTTTCACGTAAACAATGAATAATACGTTCGACCGTGTAAAGATGGTAATTTACAACACACACATAAAATGGTGAATTGAGGATTCCTTGTTTTACAACATAACAATGTGACATTTTTTCTGTACAAAAATGTAGTTTTTGTATGTGTATGCTAAAGCTTTTTTGTTATTAACTGTTTTCGCCCCCTGGCAGCCGTTAACTCGGTCTACAATTAACGTTTCAATTGTTCTAAAAAGGAAAAGTACATGTATAGTCTCTATACCTGTAAACTATGAACGAAATTTTGACAAAACACGCGCAATAACAGATTCATATGTAGGCTGTTAGAAACTCTTTTCAGTTCGTGATATGACAGAAACGAATTCTAAACTGTACCTGGAAATCGTTTTAGTCACGCAACTAACATTCAACAGACTCCTTTATTACGTAAATTTGAAGTAAATAGTAGGTAGTATGGTAGTATCATATGATTTTTGACGTCATACACCGCAAATATCAGTGACGTATTTCACAACTTCCGCTCTTCGGCAGAGGTGTTTGTGTTCTTTTGAGTCAAAGTTCAGCATGGATCTCCCCTAATGCGTGTTATTGTGGAAACGTTACGATATTTTCCAGCTTGTAAATTATTAGCAGACGGTTTATCAACATAACATGCGTGAATCACACCCGGGAGTATGTGTGGCATTGAAGTGAAAATGCATCAAACCGTGAACTGATAAGGTGAACTATCTTGATACTGAGACGACCATTGACAAGGCTACCTTGTGTACTAATCTTCGCTATTGCGCTACACTCGACATATTTATCCAAGCCAAACACAATGAGCTGTAAATAGCTCATCACGCGTGTTACACTACTTCTCTCTGCTGTACAACAGGCAGCTGTATTTATTATCAGTCTTAAACAGACTTCTCTTGTTAAATGTCAAACTGATAATAAAGTTCAGATTCAGTCCCAGTGATGTGTGTTCTTGCAAATACTCGGACTTTGATGAGCAAAAACATTTAATTGCAGGTAGAACATGGATATAGGATAACGGACATACTTCAACTACTTTGACGCTGGATTAAACAAAAAGACAGGATGAAGTTTGCAGAGCATTTGGGGGCTCACATCACCCCAGAATGGCGGAAGCAGTATATTCAGTATGAAGTAAGTTTGGAGATTATTCAAATTAAATAATGTGATGTTTTAAAGTTTTAGATGGCAATTGAATGGGACTGTAACAATACATGTTAGTATTAATGTATTGCAATGTTAAGAGTTGTGATATACATGAATACTTTTAGATAAGTATTGATGGCAAGTTTTGCACACAACTCCTTCTATTCCCTTTATTTTAAGTTGTTCCTGTGTGTATCTAACAAATGACCTGTGATTACAGGTGAACTTCGAGATTAGAATCAGTCTTCAGCAATGTTCGGTAACCTACAGGATTGTTTGCAGTTAGCAAATGTAGCTCAATCTTTGTCATGTTATATCAGGTTATGTGGATATTGTGATATGCATGCTCATTATGAATCAACAGACCTACAACTGAATATTAGATTAACACAGTTATTCTGGGAGTTGATTGAACTAATGTTGAGTGTGATGTTGAAAAGTCAATTTCATCCACTGACCCATATCCCGATGCATCTGACCAGCAGAAACTCCAAACATAGTCATTGTGCAGAGTTGTGTCCCTTATTCATGGCAGGATCCTGGATTTCCTTATCAGTGCTTTGTAGCAGTCAAACTGCTTGTAGCCTCAGTCATATAAGATGTCACAAGGCTAGGATGACAAAGCCAACAGTAACATATGCTTTGGTTCATCTGAGGTCACTAAATATCAGCATCGGGCCGATTTGTCACCAATATATGTCATATCATCCTATGTACCCTGAGTTAGTTGTTCTTTATTGCCTGTATATCCCTTGTGCACCAGTTGGCTGTATCAGTAACAGTAAATGAATGACATACTCTGTCAGTCAAGTGAGGGTCACTGGCTTCCTTGTATAATAGACCCAACAGCTGAGTGAGCTGACCCACCTGTTGACAGAGTGAGTGAGTGAGTCAGTATTGTATTATGCTGCTTTTAACAATCCTTCGGTAGTATCATGTCTGTGGAAATCAGAAATGGGCTTCAGATTATTCCCATATTGGAATCTTACCCTAGCCATTGAAGTGACAAACGGACATGTTAACCTCTGATAATAGTGATAAAGAGACAGATGAATTGCTTTTTTCTGTGACTTGTACCAGGGAGACTCTATAAGGGGGAGTGGTCACTCCTCGGAAAGCTCCTAAGCTATGCCTCGGCTCGTCACGTGACCAGTGCAGCCAATATGGCGGCAGCGTAGTTTTTAAGATTGAGCCCGGTTTATTTTCAACAGCTGATTACATACGCTGAGTGTTGTGACAACTGAAAACCTACATGTAGAAGATAAGTTACCTATTCTGTCACTTCATTTTAAGTCAAATACTTGTTATTAGTGTCAGTATAAGTACAGTAGCTTTGTAGTAAAGTTTCAAGTGGGCATGTTGTAGCTCACTGGCTTCAATTCTCAGTACACAGCGAAGAAAGACTAACTTATATCGCTAAAAACTTCTTTCACATATTCGTTTAATTTTTAGAAGGGAAATATACCTTTTGTTAAAAGGTGTTTGCAAGTAATAGTGATATTTTTATAACTAAAAAAATTTGTTAGGGTGTATTTGAGGTGTGTGAAAAATATGACATATCACCGATCTGCCATTGAAATACTACAGGGCGTTGTTTGAGTGTTTCTAGTTAGTGTTCAAAACATCTTTCACATACACCTTCAATTTTTATGAGGGAATATACCATCAGGTGAAAGGTGTTTGCAAGTAATAGTGATAGTTTTATAATTTAAAAAAAATTGTTAGTGTGTATTTGAGGTGTGTAAGAAATATGACATATCTCCAATCTGCCATTGAAATACTACAGGGCGTTGTTTGAGTGTTTCTAGTTAGTGTTCAAAAACATCTTTTACATACACCTTCAATTTTTATGAGGGGAATATACCATCAGGTGAAAGGTGTTTGCAAGTAATAGTAATAGTTTTATAATTTAAAAAAAAATTTTAGTGTGTATTTGAGGTGTGTGAAAAATATGACATATCACCGATCTGCCATTGAAATACTACAGGGCGTTGTTTGAGTGTTTCTAGTTATTGTTCTAAAACATCTTTCACATACACCTTTAATTTTTATGAGGGGAATATACCATCAGGTGAAAGTTTCTTGCAAGTAATAGTGATAGTTTTATTTATTTTTTTTGTTAGTGTGTATTTGAGGTGTGTGAAAAATATGACATATCGCCGATCTGTTCTGATACGCCATTGGTGCTTGTGATGCTTGAGTGTTATAGTTCTAAAACTTCTTTCTTTCTTGTTGATCTTAGTATTTGACAAAACTGGAAAGGTGTTTACAATGCTTTGTGATAGTTCTAAACTTTCTGTTCTTGAGGGGTCTGTGACAGTGTCAGTTAACATTCTGTCAATGCCCATGTCATTCCACACATGCAATAAGATATCTGAATTAGTAACTAATGTAAAAAAATGTCTCAAAGTAGATTTTTATAAAAGGACAGCTGATGTTAACATGTGTTCTACCGATAGTTTTATTCTTTAACATGTTTGGGGAGGGATGGCCGTGGTGTATCATTTATTCTTTCATTCATTCACATATGTTCTTTTTCTTTTGTTCTTTTTCTTAATTTCTTTCATTCATTCACATAAAATTCTTGCTCTTAATTAATTCATTCATTCATTGTAAAATTCCGACCTATACAATACACTGGCTGAAGTACTGTTAAACGCAGCCGAAGTTGCGCTGGGACCCGAACCAAGTCACTGTGTGCGTTGGAGCATGACGAGGCACACGTTAATTAGTACAAATGGTAAAGAAAGCAAGCGAGTGACCTATCCCTGTTGTAGAGTATCCCTGCTTGTACTATTATCATTACTATAATATAACAGTGTTACACACAGAAATAAAGTGTACTTCCAAGCTGGCAATGGACACATACAACAGAGAACATGTTATAGCTTCAGAAGTTAGTTTAGGAATGACAGTTAGAGTGAATTTAGTTTTAAGCTTTGAGCAATGTTCCAGCAATATCACGGTGAGGGACACCAGAAATTGGCTTCACACATTGTACCCATGAGGGGAATCAAACCCAGGTGTTCGGTGTGATGATTGAACACTTTAACCATTAGGCTACCCCACCGCTTGAGTATTTTACACATTTACATGTTACTTTGTAACAAGTTTGGATTTTACCTTTATACAAAATGTATAAATGACGGTTTACTGACTTGAATCACATAGTATTTCCCGCAATCACAATACTTCACAACAACACTAATGTTTTATGTTGGAGTAGTGGGTAAATAGTATTATTCACTCAGTAAAACACAGTGTCGAAGTCATTGTCTAGCCACCATTTCCCCCCCTCCATTGTATATAGGCCTGGCTGTCTCACTGTGGCCCTGTATATTTACTGTAGGTCCTACTCTACATTGTCTACAGCCCCCGGAGCAGTATTACTTTCCCTCCTGTGTAACTGTGTACTGTGTTGTTACAGTATTACCTGGTGGCTGTAAACACTATGAATGGTCTTTATATACCCAACAATAAAACTGTACGTATGATTATATAAGCCAGGGTTCGAAATACCCCATATATTAGCATGCCATGGCATGGATATAAAAGGTTCTTGGTGCCCTTAAGGCACACCTAAAGTTTTAGAGACATAACTCACCTCTAGTCATTTAATCCCCAAAACAAAACACTTACGCAATGACAAAGAGGCAAAAACATTTATTGACTTTATCGCCCAGGAAATCACTGGAATTATGATGGATGATATAAAAAAATGTGGTTGTTTTTCCATTTAGAGTGATGGGAGTACTGATAGTTCGAGTATTGAGGAGGTAATTGTGTATGATTGATATATTGAACAAGTGAGCCTGTCACAAAATTCTTCAAATTATCATCATCATTGCTACAGTCATTTATTCTGAAAAAGATGTGGGCATGACTTCAGGTAAAACTGACAGTCTACCAAACCATGAGGACGATTTCTGAAAGGCACACTTAAAATCTTTGCCTGGTGCCCAAGGCACACTTTAAAAAAATGTATTTCTATCCCTGTAAGCACACCCTGATCAAAATGAGAGTAATATCTTTCCTATGTATTTATTACTTCAGGTGAAAATCCACCAACTCACATTAGTACTTGCAGTGCAGTGAATATCACAAAATGTACTGCATTAACACATATTTTACCATTTGTAAATAGATAAACTATTAACATATGTTATGTTTGGGATTACACTTTCTTAGTAAAGCACAAGATATAGCACTTTTTGGGTGGAATCCCATCCGGGATTCGAACCCACACCCTCAGAGTCAGGCACCTAATTGCCAGCACACAAAGTCAGCCACCTAACAGCCGCAGTCTAGACTACCAGTTGTCCGACTTCCATTTTTGTGGAAGCGCGGTGGCTGAGCGGGTTAGGTGGCTGACTTTGTGTGCTGGGACTGCATGGTATTACCGGTAAACGCTTTTCAAACGATACGTATTGCAATATTTTTCTGAGAACCGGTATATTGGATAAAGAACATACATGTATATGAAGTTTTTGTGATTATCTTTATGGTTTAAATTAAAATCTACACACTTTCATTCACAACAAATGTTTTCCTTCGTTATTAAATTACAAAACGGCATACTGTAATGATATTAATTATATAAACATGAAAATAGAATCCCTGACTCTGCAGCCTAATGTTGAGATTGCTGTTATCAGAACCATAGCATGTATGTTTAGGGACTTATATTGTAGAAAATACGATCGACATGTACATTTAGTGTCACTTACTGTCAAACACTTAAGTTCATAATATATCACAATACGAGTACCTGAATCGCAATATATTGCGATGCAAATTATTTGCCAACACACAGCCCTATTGTGTGCTGGCTATTAGGTGCCTGACTCTGAGGGTGTGGGTTTGAATCCCCCGGATGGGACTCAACCCCAAAAGTGCTAGAATTTGTACTTTACTAAGAAAGTGTAATCCCAAACATAACATATGTTATGTTTGACCACTTTCTAAAATGGCATTGTGTAATGATAAAC